AAAGAACCTCATTCACCTAACCCCGGCCGCCGCCCGCCCCGTCTTGGGCGAGCCGATGGGCTACGTCTTCCGCAGCGGAACCGGCAACAGCCCCAGGCGTGGAAAGCCCACCCCCAGGCCCGACCCGACAACCTCTTCGGACGAAGACGAGGACGACAAGTCGCTCCCCTCCGACCACTCTGCAAGTAACTCACCCTCCATTCCCTACGCCCGCTCCTCCCCCTCGCCCTACTCTGCCCCGGGCTCTCCCGATCTTCCCTACCCACGCCACCGTCCCGCCGCCCCGCTCTCCCCGGCCGCAAGGAACAGGACTGCCCCCGCCTCCCGTCCCTACGGCCCACCGGCCGCTCACCACTCCCCGGGGGCCCACCACTCCCCGGGAGCCCCCCGCGGGTACCCGCATGGAGGCTACGCTGGCTTGAAAGCCTCCGGCAAGGGCGCCGGCATGGGCTCGACGATTCCGAGACATACGGCGCCCGGTGTCGCCATGTGCTCACCGGCTGCCTCATTGGGACGTGGTAATCCCAACGCCGTCAACAAAGTTGTTCGACCAGTGCAGAGGTATTAAGACTGCTTGTTTGCCACTGTCCTACCTGCTCATCAACGCTGCCCTCTATCGAAATCAATTCTCAAACTTGACCTCCAGACCGTTTTCCTTGAATTAGCTCTCTAACCTGTTACTTGACTCGTTAATAAACTACAACTTTCTCCTGTTTTGCAGCACTTATTCCGGCGCATTATAGCATGATGACTTGGTGCTTTACCTCAACTCATTAGTCCGGCTACATGGGGAATTTGCGGAATTTCTACGCTAGACAATGTCTAGTCATCCGTTTGCCAACGGGTTGACGAAATTGTACTTTACAGTAATAGCATTCGTCAGAGATAAAGAGAAAGGGAGAGCTGTTCTTCCATTGAGGCCAACTCGCACAAGCCGTCTCACTCACGAAATTTCTCTGCCTGTAAGTCTGTTCCTCTTTCGAGACTTCGCAGGATATTGCCGGACAGAGTTCTGCTACACCTAGGGGTTTGCATGCTATTGCAAGCCGTTGGGAAACCACGAAAGGGCGCAAAACTGTGACAGTGCGAGGGGAGCGTCGGGGAGCGTCGGGGGGGTTATGGCGGGGATGACGGAGGCCGGGACGTGACGAAACGTCTGCAGAGCAAAGAGATTGAATTGAAGTGACGTCACCGTCCTGGTGGAACAGCCTGAAAGGAGCACGGCACCACATTGCGATGGTATAAAACTTTTGTCGACGTCGCATGTCAGAAAAAAACCACGTTGCCTCGTCACCACCTCCTCCTCCAACCCTCTTTTGGCTCATGCAATTTCCATTTTGTACCCGCCTTACATCCCCCACCGCATCTGTTAATCCCCTCCCCTCCTCCTCTCACCATTCCGCCCGCCAACCTACTACACCTCTCTCTCCGCCCCCTCCCGTCACCGGCACCACACGCCATGCCACAGAAGAGGAAGCGCCACCTGCCCCTCGCGACCGCTGCTCCGTCGCCCGAGGAGGCTCTGCACGCTCCCTCGGCCGTCAATCCCGCGGCACCCCCGAGCGACGTCCCGGATGGCATCCCTGTTGCCGATGATCCGGTTCACAACCCTCTCCTATGTGCGTACAGTATACCCTCCTAAAATGCCTCCTCCCGTTTCAGTGATCTAATCCATCCCGCTCCTTCCCGCCGCCACCGCATACCGTCCCACGGAAACGACTAACACTTCCCTTCAAATCCCCGTCACACTGTATCTCCACAGACAACTGCCGTAAGCGCTTACCCATGAGGGCGCCCGCAGGGAAGCACGACATCTTCGTTTCGAGATCCACCAGATTCGGCGCGCTTAAGGCACGTGCGTTAGCGTTGTTGGATGCCTCTAAGCATCCAGTCCTTTTGCACGCCATGGGCGCTGCCATTACCCTCTGCTGCAACCTCGCCCTCGTCATTCAAGAAGAGACTGGCGGACACGTCGCCCTAACCGTGCATACAAGCACTGTCGACGTTTACGATGATTATGAACCACTCGTTGAAGTACGTCCTTAGCGTCTGATCGCTTCACCCCGCTATTGTGCCCCTCTTACAGTCTAAGTTATTAGTTTCTGACGCTCCATGTCTTGTCTCCTGTATTTTTGAAAACCGAACGAAGGGTTACCCGCATGTGACACGGAGTCGGAGCAAGTCGGCTATACGCATTAGACTCTCTAGGACCCCAGGCTACGTGTGACATGTTTCCCGGTGGCCGCCAGGAAGCCCATGTGCTTGCAAAAAGGTGAATGCCTCCCCGCACCTCATTGTTGTATTGCTAACCGCTACAGTATAGCGGGGTGTCTACAGTAGTGACATTTTCCCACAATGACTCGGTGGTTGGGCTGGTAGCATCTGTGTGTATATACAAACAAATGAGGTCCAGAACATGCTCTCAAATCTTTCCCCCATATGCATGTCATGTTCACATCGGTACTTCTGGACACGTCATTGACTAAACAGAGTTCTAAATTGGGAGCCCTTTGAGCGGCGCACTCGATGGTAATCATCCCCTACATGGAAAGGTGCTAGTGCTCTGTTGCCATTAGAGAAACTGCTTCAGTGGAAATTCAATAGGTGCGGCGTTTCTACACATGCCGTGCGGTAGTACAGGAAAATTTGTACCATCCAATTATTCAACGCGCAGCGGACGCATCCAAGCTCGTTGACAGGAGCTCGTTACAAGCTACCCGTCTAAAAAGCACAAACACACGTAGTTGTACATACATATGCATAGACATACTATGAATGTAAACATATGACATATCTATTGCGGAACACGTCGTCGTCTAAAACTTACCTCTAGAGCCAGGTATTGTCACCGAAGCTATTCCGCAGTGGGCTCGTGCACAACGAGAAACAAAATTGGAATGTTGCCCCTCCTCTTTCGCATTCGCAAGTGATGGTGCGAGACTCCTCGACATGTCCGTCCATTCTTCGGGTCTTGCATGAGTTATTTGGTCGTTCGCTTGCGGCTTTAAGAAATTTCAGGAGATTGCCGTGCAGGAAGATTGCAAGACCACTTCAAGAGGGGAAGAGCTAACGGTGCAACTGAATTTGATTTGGTCTCCCGCGACAACTGACTTGTGACCGATGCTCCCTTCGCACTTCTGACGCCGGCTTCTGCTTTCACCTCAGTGACTTCACCGCCCTGCACGATTCGCCGAAGGTGACCAAGTTTCTTTCAGTCCCAGTCTCGAGTGTATACCTTTGACGCCAACACGGCCAGGATTTACTGGGAATATTCTGCCGCATTTTACGTGAGACACTCAAGCACGGAACCATTGCTCTTTGGGTCTCAAATGAGATCACATCACCGAAGTTGCTCTGGCTTTCTCAGCCACTAGTTGTTAGCAGCTACGTGGATGACATCACGAACTGTAGACGAAATTTTGAACTCGCGTGTGTTCCCTCAACCAGTGATTCACGTTGAAGCAGCATCGCTCAGCGAATAGCGGCGCTTACCGGTTACCCGCATACAATATACCTCTTTTGGACACAAGTCCAAAGCATGTCAATGCCTCTCAAGTTGGCATTAGCCTGAGTTGGGCCCGTGGAAAAACAGTGAGGCAATTAATGCTCTCATGCGCAAGGATCTTATCCTTGTCATGCAAGCCGGCACCAGGTTGAGGTATGCAAGGGACACCGCACTCCCTCCTGTTCGGAGATATGATACCGATGACGTAGTCAACAGGTCTTTTGCGAAAAGCATTGACGCGAGACAGAATCTTGGAGGTTTCGCTGTTATGATGAGATGCCATGACGTGAAGTTTGAGCACCATCAAACCTGAAGCGTTCTAGCAAGTATGCAATGATGCTTCGGCGCAGGTCGGTGATGAGAGACGTGGGTGCACGTCAAACCAACTAAAACGGCTTTCAAATCCATCGATGAAAAATGCTGTACAAATGCAGCCCTCCTACTGTAGGCATGGGCAAAGGCATTGCTGGTGCAGAGCGCAGAACTCCTGCCGCCCTTGACCGGGTTTTCACAACTGAGACAGACAGAGACAAGGGTGCCCCTTTCATGCCGGTTGGCCTTCCAATTATGTATTGTACAGCGGTGCCGAATAGTGGGCAAACAGGCCAGTCTCACGCCAAGCTTTCCGATGAAAGTGTCTCTGACACCACGCTACTCTTCCCATATATGCGCACAAGCCTTCGTCGAAAGCCAGGTGTAATAAGACATCCGAGCTCCCCCACTGCAGTAATCCCGCGCACCCTCTTTGCCGGGGCCATGACGAAGCAAGCGTTGGGAAGGGCGACAAAAACTGACTCATTCTCAGTGTTACTCTCAAACGTGGCGACATCAAACAGTCCGTTCTGATCCGGCATGATGGCGCCGTACACGACGGACCTCCCGAGCTCATTCCCCTGCATATCCGTGAGGACAGTGGCGCGGCGCACGGTACCCGCACCAGGGTCCCAGCCGAACTGCACGACGGTCTTCGTCTTCAGCAGGCCATCCGGGCCGCTCGACGGGTTCTTGAGCTCCGGCGGCAGGTCTTCTTCCGAGTAGTGGCGGGCGGCGCGTCGACTTGGCGACTTTGCGGAGGGCTTGGCCGCGAAGCCGAGCGGGTGCGAATCGGCGGCGAGGTGGCGGAAGGTCTCGCACTGGCCCTTCCACTCGCCGACGAGAGAGGTGAGGGCCAGCGGCGCCCGCGTGTCAAACAGGCCTGCGCGGACCTCCTCGAGGAGGAGGACGGCGTGCAGGACGCGGGCGCTGTCGTACAGCATGAAGCAGCGGGTGCGCTCCGTGGCGGACACGGGGAGCGCGAACTCGATGGCGTGCGAAGAGGCGGGCAGCGCGGCGGGCAGGAGATGCGGGAGTTCGAGGAGCGTGTGGTCGGCGCTGTAGGTGCCGTCGGGGAAACAGTGGAAGTTCTCCAGGTTGTAGCGCAGGAGTAGCGGGGTGGGGGCTGGTTGGGCGGCGACGGAGATGGAGTAGGTGAGAAGCAGGGAGGAGGAGTTGGTGGTGGAGAGGGCTACCGAGGGGGAGGAGAGGTGGTAGGAGGAGGTGGATATGAGGGAGCCATCTGCGACGGCGATGGCGAGGGAGCGGCCTTCCCAGTCGCCGAGATGGCGAGAGGAAAAGCGATGCCAGTCGTCGCCGTAGGAGGTCATTGCGTGATGGTGGGGAGCATGAGGGGGTAGGTGGGACGGAGGGGACGCGAAGGGGAAGAAGCGGATCTGGGCAATGCGCGGCAAGACCGGAGACCACTTTTGCGTGGACGAGGTGAGGTGGTCAAACAGGTAGGTGCGGTTTGGGGCGCCACGTGTAAGGTTCGAGTTTGGGTTGGTTCAGTGTACACGTTTAAGGTCAGGGTGAGGGTACTGTCCTGAGTCAGGACAAGACTCCTGACTCTCTACAAGTACGTTAGTACAGCTCTGCACTGTACGGTGAAGACGATACCGCCTCGATATAAAACACCCTTGATCCTCTTCGAGTGCACAGGCGTCTTGACGGTACGTCTGCCGATGACGTAAGCCTCCTCCAGGACCGCGTCTCATCGCTACTGATGTCAGTACAGCGCAGAGCGACGACTCAGTTACAAGCAGCTAAATCGGCCAGTTTCTTGTCCGCCCTCTCCCTTATCCAGTTGGCAAACAGCGTCCACATCTCTTCCTTCCCCGTCTCACCCAACAAATTATGCCACCTCCCCTCCCCCTTCACCAACGTCTTATCGGCACTAGTCGCGCCATTATAAAACCTCTCCGCGGCCTCCGGGTGAACCAGCGTGTCATTCTCGCCCGACACCGTCAGAAACGGCACCTTAACCATCGCCACATTCCCGGAGATATTCGAGTAGGCGTCCAGAAACTCCCTCCCCACCCGCGCGCGCACCATGTTCTGACAATTCAGCGGGTCGGCCTCGAAGTTTTCCTGCAGCACCTTATCCGGCGCCGGCGGCAACGCCAACAACTCAGCCTTAGGGCAGACCCTGCTAGTGATACCGGACAGCCAGTACTGGACATGTCCCTTGAGTCCGAACATGCTCGCGGGCGGCTCGGACGCGGCCGACGAGAGTGCCATGCCTGCGAACGCGGTAGGGTTATCGCGCGCGGCGAGGATGGCGACGGTGCCGCCCATGGAGTGGCCGAGCAGGAAGACGGGGACGCCGCGCTCGCGCAGGCGCAGGTCGCGGTCGACGGTGTTGACGTGCGACATGAGGTCGTCGACGAGGGCCGAGAAGGCCGGGAAGTAGGCGCGCAGGCCGGAGGAGTTGCCGTGCCCCACGTGGTCGTGCGCGAACACGGCCAGCGAGCGCTCGTTCAGCTCGCGCACCAGCGAGGAGCGCGCCGCGTCGCCGTAGTTGCACAGCGAGGTTGGGGAGTCCGCGCGCAGGAAGTTGAACTGCGCGTGCGCGCGGAAGCCGTGCACGAGGAAGACCGCCGCGTCGTACGACGCAGGCACCCACCGGTACGTCGCTAGCGTCTCGCCCGCGACCGTGCTCGGCATCTTCGACTGCGAGGCCTTCATGGCTTGATCGGGGGGAGCGGGGACGCGGCGGCGGTGTGTGGGGGGGGGGGGCGATGAAATAACACAAGATGAACGCGTACGCGCT